CAGCACCCTGCACAGCACCTTTGCCAGACTTCGCCACCGCAGTCTGGACAGCACCATGCACAGCACCCTGCACAGCACCTTTGCCAGACTTCGCCACCGCAGTCTGGACAGCACCCTGCACAGCACCCTGGGCTCAAAAGTTCGCCACCGAAGACCCCACCTTTGAGAAGTAAGAACCCCTATAGCTTGCCAGCTATCTGGGGAAAAAAAAAGGTCTATGTTTCAGCTTAAATTTCAGGGAATATACCCCTGATACCCCTGAAATATGGTGTTCTGCGCTGTACAGCACACTATTGGCTGGATCATCCTCTAGGGACTGTCGTCCATGTTTGGTGAAAAAATCCCCAGTTTTCATGCAGAAATGTGTAGATGTTCTCCTGAAAACCCCTGTATTTATGCTCAAATCTCCAGTATTGATTCTGAAATTCCTAGTTTCTTTGATTAAATTCCTGGTTTTTTACGCTCAAATCCCCGTTGTTCATGGCGTTTTTCGCTGCCCCCAAAGCACCACGTGCCGTCACGTGCCCCATTTGTGCGCACCAGCTGGGCCCAACAGCACATTGGGCTTCCATAAAGATGCGACCTGCCATCAGCACCATGATGTCACTCCAGTCTGTGATGAGAAATTCACCCCGTGTCTGGTGAATCTATATTATATATATATATTATATTATATATATATATTATATATATATATATATTATATATTATATATATTATATATATATATTATATATATATATATCATGCATAAGTCTTGTAACACGAGGCCACCTGAAAACCTGATATTCGATTGAATCAAAATTCATGGCGGTATGTCATTGTAAGGTAGCTACCCTTCGCCGAGATGTTTGTTGGTGTTTAACATCTTTGCTGGCAAAAGCCTGTAGTACTTGTACTGGCGGTCTTTGACAATCACTTTTAAAAATGCAGTTTTTTTTCCAGGCGTGATTACAAGAATCCATGGCCAATTCTGGAACAATCTTTTTCGAAAGTATGTATAGCTCAGAGAGCTACGTATCCAGTGGGATCAAAGGTTGTCCTTTGTGGAAAAACTTCCACCAAAGTTTGGTCAGGACGATTTTTTTATGGTCAGTTTCCAAACGAGTTGCTGCAGGTATTGCCGGTGTGGGTTATACTTTGGGTTGGATCTTAACAACGGTATACAGTATACTGGTATACAGTAGTTGTCAGTAGTCGGTTCTCCATATTCGTTGGTGAAACATGTATTTATGTATATGTATAGAAAGAGAGAGAGAGAGAAAAAAAAAATACGAATGTACTTTGATTTTGCAGCTGTAGAGTTGAAGTTGCAACACTACTTTCTACTTCCTCACTTACTGGGTAGGTTACAACCTGTGTATTGGAACTTACTGAAAATTGATCATTCATAACCATGTCCATCAAATAACGATTTATAGGTCAAAGAAGCAGTTTATGTCAACCACAAAATAGACACAACAAGTTGCAACGCTGAAAACTATGAGGTCTCTACATCATCTACCACATCCTGGTTTCATGTTTGGGGGTCCTACAGATGTCACTAATAAACGATAAAAGAAAACCGTAAATCAGATCTTACCACTGACCACCATGGTAAAAGCGTGTATATGTCCATATACATATTTAGTATAAGTATACATATAACTATACATATATATATAATCACATGTCCCAACTTTCAAATGACTAGTTGAAAAATCCCAACTTTCACTGGTGAACTAAATGGGTGAATTTCCAGCCATGAATTACCCCCTGATCACCCATGGGACCCTACCCATTGTACCCATGGGACCCAGTAAATCACTGCAACGTATCACATATCCTGTACACATATTTTTTTAGCACCCAAAAAAGGTCGATCGAAAAGTTAACGAAACCTGGATATTTTGGGAGAAAGACATCATCGTTGTTTACCATCCTCAAAGCACTTTTCAATTTCTTGGGGGGTTACCTCAGCTGCATGTCCCTACAGTAAAAATACCCTCTGGTAAACATACAAAAAGCTATTGAAAATGGCCATAGAAATAGTGAGTTTTCCCGTTAAAAATGGTGATTCTCCATAGCTATGTTTGTTTACCAGAGGGTATGTTGCAGATCCTATTTTTGGCACCTCCTTCGGAGAGCTTGGCATCGGACAGCGTCATCTCATCCTGAAACATCTGCAGCGGTCGATGCTGAGTGACGCTGCGTCATCACTCAACCAGGGTTGACCAACTGATTAAAACAGTGGTTATTTGATCTGGGTAAATTATAATATTTCACTAACCTGAATTAAGGCCATTTTGGGATGATTCCCCTTACTAACTATGATTATAGTGAGGTCGCAGTGAGGTCGTTATAATTTACCCAGATTTGATGGTTCTTATTGATCAACCTAAACAGTGTTTGATGCTGGTGATTTTTTAGGCTTAAGCTAACTTCACCACTCTTCAAAGACTAGTTCAAGTGATGTGGGAATGGCTCAAAACCATCTGGGTGTCCAGGGTTACCAGGATCTTGACTATCTTCACTGAGGAAAAATATGGCTTTGTCTGAAAATATGGTGCCCCAAAATTTCTGAAAATCCCATGGTGATTTTCGGTTGTCATCAGCATTTTCTCCATGAAACCTGCAATGTTTGTGTATCCCTCATGCTTGTACCCAAAAGTATGGGATCCCAGCAATTTTTCTGTCAAAGTGATAGAGTCTACCCTCATTTTTTCTGTCCGAGAGTTACAAATCGGTTTATAATTCCCATTATTTATAGATATATCTGCCAAAAATCCAACAGTTAAGCTAGTGAAATCTTCACCAACTGAGTTAACTCTCCGGCATCACAAGGCGGCACCTTGAGCACTCGGCCCTTGAACTCCATCCGTTGCTTCACGGGCGAAATGCGTGTGTGCTTACACACCTGGTCCTCGCGCCCATGCCGAGGCACTCGGCTAAAATAATCCCATTTCTTTTGAATATAATCCCCTTTTTAGTGGATTGAGCCTTTTTTGGTAGGATAACCAGCAAATATCGCCATGTTTGTGGATTGTGTAATAGATTCCAAAAATTGAAAAATCAAATCAATTCCGACTTCCGATGTCTGTTTCGCAAAACTAAGACCCAGCCATTGTTGGTCAAACATGACCCAATTGCCATCGCCACCATCGCCTTGAGCGCAGCGACTTTGACCACCGTTGGATCTCCCAGAACTTCCAACGGCCTGGAACCAACGAAGCAACGGCCTTTCGGGCCTTCGTCGAAAAAGCCGTTTCGACACCAACGGGATGGAACCTGGAACCCATCAACCCATGAGTCACCGATGTCACCGACAGCTGCACATTGTGAGCAAATCTCCGCCAAGCTGCACAGGCAAAGAGCTCTTGTACTTGGTCCCCACCTGAGGCGAAACACACGGCCAAACTGAAGGGACTCACATTTGACCTTCTGTCCAGTAAATGAAGACGCTAAAAAAAAACTGGATATCACAAGGCCAAAAAAACATATGTATGCATATATGTGTGTTTGTGATTTATGTATGTTTATCTATATATTAATGTTTTATGTGTGTATTTCTATGTTTATTTATACGTTTATCTATATGTTTATTGATATTTGCAGTTATATTTAGAATCTAGAATTATAGTTATATAGTTATATAGACTGGTTCTAAGTGGATCTCAAGCACCAAGCAGATGCTTCAGTGCTTCAGTCATGGGGGATCCGAGTGCTGGATACTGCAACTGGTGCATCTGCCCTGGGAGCGTATTTATTGCGGTACTCTGCTACAGTTCACCATGGAAAACCAGATTTTTGGACATCAGCAACTCATCTGCTTTCATGGGCAATGGCTTCCGTAGCTATTTTCACATCAGAAATCGCCAACCATCCGAAATCATTCCAATGACAGAGATGGCCCCTGGGCTGCCCATTCACCAAGATGCCGCTTGCACGTAGATGATGGCCATGTCAAGTGATCAAGGCGGAAGACGCGGCTTTTTTTGTTGTGGTGACGCAGTTGGGTATCTGTTGCGAAAATCTTGGATACTCTGGCAACAAAGAAAACTTGCTACGACATTTGCCCACCATTTCGAGCTTAACATTGATGCACTCACCCCTTCATCAGGGACATAACTGGACTTGAAGTTAACGGGAACACCTGATGAATAACATTGTGTATGCACCCAACATACATCAATCCAATGTAAAGCTACAGTGTCTGCTCCGTAGGATCTCCAAAATTTGTGTGTAGGTCTAACTCCTCAAATTCACCATCGGGAGACCTTGATCAGGCAGCGAGATTTTTCGGACGAGGCTGTAGGCGACCGAGACAATCTCCCAGCTTATGGTTACAGTAGAGACTATTACCAAGGTACCCATGACTTAAACCTCAACCAAGATGTCCCAAGAAAAAGTGTCAGTGATGGTTTCAAGGGTAAATTTAGCAAGGTACCAGGTTCAGGTTCAACTAATGTAGCAACTCCTGAGGATTGTGAAAACCTGTCAAAAAGACCCCTACTAGTGCGGCTTGAAGCGATCAGAACGTGAGGTGTCTGCAGTCATGATCCAGCCATGACAGCAGATCATGGCTGGGGACACAAAAACGCAGTCCCCTTTTTATGATTGAACGGGTCTGTTTCAAGATGTTATAGATGGTTCCTGGGCCCCGTAAGTTCTAGCTGTCCAACTTTGATGTCTTATTCAATCATCTGTGCTATACCATCTGGTTATTTTCCTAACAGTTTGCCATGGAAAATCACCATGCTATTAATAGGTAAACCATCTATTTCTATGGGCCATTTTCCATGGCTATGTTAAATAGCCAGAGGGTAATCCAATTAGTGATGTTGCATACGAAGTATCCGACCAAGAGCTAGGAATCCCCCCATTGGTCAGACTGGTCGACTTCTTCGGAGTGCCCTGTTTTGCCTAAGATCCAATCAAGAAAAATTGCACAGAAAATTCCGCGTTCAAATCTGATACCAAAGCCAGTGGAGCAGGGAAACGCCAGCCCTGGGGCGCCCAGCGTCCAGCCGCGACTATCCACGCGCCACATGCTGGCGCCGGACATCAACAATGCCTTCACAACCTGAAGACATTCCCTGGGAATCGTCGGCCAGGGCCATTTGCGGATGGGTCAATTATCTATGATTACCCTCTGGTAATTTAACATAGCTATTGAAAATGACCATTTGTAGTGGATTTTCCCATTGAAAATGGTGATTTTCCATAGTTATGTTAGTTTACCAGAGGGTAAATATAAACCAGCTATTTTATGATATCTAGGGTGCCAGGGTTTTGACTTGCAGTTTGGGAATCGTTGCGCTATTCCAAACACCATCATTCCACTGACGTCACGACCTGACATCCTTTATTATGATTTGATCTCGGTATTTGAAAAATTGCAAAAGATTTACCCTCTGGTAAACGTTTACATAACTATGGAAAGATCCACCATTTTTAATGGGAAAACTCACTATTTCAATGGCCATGTTCAATAGCTTTTTGTATGTTTACCGGAGGGTAGTCGTTTTTGTTACATGGATGAAGAAAAGGTCATCCCTGATTTGGACAAAATACGAATCGTGCAAACCTGGTGGGCTTAGCCCTGGGATGTCCTGGGTAAGTGCGATGTATCAGGGGATACATCTGACTTACTATCCACTGACTTAATTGAGTTGGATCATCCCAGAAGTATATCAGTGGTGCAAAAAAAAACACGGTGTACATCCTTTATAAATCTCAATTCTCTTCTATCTATATATATATATTTGTATATATGTATTATGTATATATATACACATGTGTATCTATATATATGTATATATATATATACATACAGACATGTATTATACATATATATGGTTGTGTCTCAAAGTGGGGGACATCCCAATCACCGGCTGTTTTTCTCGGCATCGACCTCTAAATGTCCGCTGGCACAGGCCCGCATCAGTGGAGTCCTCGGACGCCATGTCGTCGCACTTTTAAGGATAAAGGTGTCGTGCTTCCAAATAATGAATCATTGGTGTTATACCCAACTAACATATATATATATATATGATATATATGATATATATACATATATATATATATATCCCACTAAGTGGTGATATACCCAATAATATAACTGGTGTTTTATATAACTACTATAAGTTTCTGGTTGGTGGTTTCAAACCATCTTGAAAAATATGAAAGTCAATGAGAAGGATTATGCCATATATTATGCAAAATAAAAGCCATGTTCCAAACCACCAACAAGAATTTGAATCTATGCACTATATGACTATATTGTGACTACTTGGTGGCTCATCCCACTTAGTAAGTGGGTTATAACCCCAGTTATAAATGGGATAAGTAGGGTTAATCCACTTATAACTGGGGTTATAACCCACTTACTAAGTGAGATGAGCCACCAAGTAGTCATCCTTCATTTTGCCAGATATCTTCAAGTTTTGAGCGAGTTCACCAACATTTTGGGGACATGTCAAGGGGGTCCAAAAACCCAGGAGTTCACCAACAAGGCACATGAGCCTTTCATCCGACAAAAATGTGAGGAACTACCCCCTTAAACGACCATGGAATCCTGGAATACCAAAATACAAGTTTGCGGGAGATAATGTTCAGCTCCATGTTCCTATTCTCATGTTGGACAACCAAAGCAAAACTGGGTCGTTGTCGCCAATAAGCAGAGTCTTTGGGCCCAATGAAAAAAACCATTTGGGTATGTTTTACAGTACCCCAACCATTGGATGGCTACAAAAAACAAATGATGAGGTGTGGGTGCATACCTCATGTTTGAACGATGGCCACTTGAATGCTATTTGAGTAGGGGAGTCAAACTCATTGGACATCCCAACACAAAAGGGACCATCTTAGTCTCCCAGAGATCTTCAAGGACAGGGCAAGGGGTCAAAACTGAAGACCCCCCTGGGCGTTGAATCATTCGCTACCCTCTTGTTATTTCACGTAGCACAGAACATCACCATTGTAAGCTCGGTAAATCATCATTTTTACCATCAATACCCTCTGGTAAACTAACATAGCTATGGAAAATCACCATTTTTAATGGGTAAACCATCTATAAATGGGTCATTTCCCATGGCTATGTTAAATTACCATCAATAAAATGGGCCATGTGGCCATGTGGCCATGTTCGCTATGTTAACAAGAGGGGCCCATCTATAGGATATCCAGCTGAAAAAAATCATGGCAGAGAAGAGAATAGCCGAATAGCCCGTCCGAGCCTGAAAAAAATCAAGTTTGACCTAGTTCCAAGGATACCTTAACTGTGCTGTATTCATGACTTGAGACATGATGTGCCATGGTCAAAGCATAGGGTAGATATACTCATCCCATCATTATTGCGAATCCTGATGGTGGCCATGATAAATCCCGGCTTTCAATGGGGGTATGACAATTCCACTTTTTGCATCGCACATATCAAGATGGAAAATATATGGAAATATATATGGAAAATATATGAAAAATATATGGAAATATGTTTTTGTTTGGAATTTTGGAATAGGATTCCCTTAAACTCTAAATGTAAAAATAATCACTCTCCCTACTATTACTAAGACGTAGCCAGCTAAATCCCCAATTTTCATACACGGCCCAGGAACAAATTGTTAGTATGTACATCCTACAAATATCCCCACTACATCCCTACTAATTTATACTTATATAACAAGTCTGTACCGTAGGGCCATGTGCCCATTATATATTTATTTACAAGGTGGTACACCCTAGTGATAGTTGTTGTTTTTTAGAAACCTCAGCAGACGAGTTGTAAAGTCTGCATATGGCTTTATGATAAGCCAACTGCTTTGGTTTACTATGTTGTCTTCCACCCAATGATAAAACATAAGAAACCCAACCACACTAACCACACCAGTCATTTTGGTGGTTTCTGGGAATCATTATAATGGGATACAATGGGTATGTAAATCCCTGTTTGTGAATTCATGACCATCCCCCAATACAGGTTAATGATTAATGGAATCCAAGCTTTGACCATGGCACATATAGAAAACCCAATAAGATCCACTAAGTAGTTTATAATCACCACCAAAAAGATGCCAAAATGCCGGAAACCTGGAAAGATTAGGTAAATATCGTCTTTTTCACATCCTGCAAACACTTTTCGGCATCTTTTTTGCGGGTTGCCTTTGGTTTTTTCCAGTTGCGTCTGCCCGGTCGGCCACCGCAACCCCGCTTGGACCCCCTGGCCGTTTGCCAGGCTTGGCATTGCCCGCATCACCTTGCAGAAAGCGGAAGTGGCACTTCTTATGTCGGAAAATCGTGCCCCTACAGCTGGTAAATCATGATCTTCCCTATGAAAATGACACAGCCACTTCAAGGACTTAGCGGAGATCCATATGATGATTCTACATGTAATTTTATACAACTATGTATATACCTAAAATATATATATATTATACCTATGTACACCTACACACACATATATGTAATATGTATGTATTGACAATCCACTTCAACGACCGCGGTAAACCGTTCATGGCGACCACCCAGCTTCAACGACGTTTGCCCAGAAATGGGACCAAACAGTTCATGCTTGGCATTTTTTTACCCAGCAACAGTGAGCATTTGACACGATCTAACCCACCAAAATGTGGATTAATATTACCCTCTGGTAAATTAACAGTTCGACCCTGGCAGTCATCGGGGTTGGAAGATGAGTTTCCATTAAAACTAGGCTATTTTCAGGGTCCAACTGTTAATTTACCAGAGGGTAATAGTTGATTTATGTTGATTTCATCTTAGCAGAATTGGTTTATCACTAGGCCAACTCTTCGGGGTTTATGGTAGATATCTTTCATATATCTATACTTGGTGGCTCATCCCACGGCTCGTAAGTGGGTTTATAACCCCAGTGATTTCAGTGGATTAACCCTACAAAAATCCCATGTAAATCACTGGGGTTATAACCCACTTACGAGCCGTGGGTAGTTCGCCACCAAGTAGTTCATGGGAGTTTATTCAACAACAAACCAATCACTCGGGGCTTTTCATTATCCATCGGACCATCGGACTTAGCTAGGATCCCTTCAAGCGGGGATCCCAACAGATGGGGAGCTACTGAAACGGCAAATCTTCAACGATCCAGTCCTGCTTGGTGGTTCACCCCCAGAATCATAAGGCTTAGTTTTTCCCAGTCATAGCTGGACTAGACCTACTTGATCCTACTTGTCCTACTGAAAAAACTTCTTAACTGGGATGAACCACCAAGTGGGCAAATATTAGGGCAAATTATTGATGATGGTGAGAAAGGCGAGTGAGGTCAGTCGTAATCATTCACCAAGGTCCATTCTTTGGACAATGCTGAGCCATACCCAAGACGATGCGTTGCCGCGCAAAATGGGGACTTATCGGTAAATAAAAAGTGGGGCAAGAATTTATAGTTGGAAATTTGATTTCAACCAGCATTCAACCAGCATAAGGGTCTGAGTTTTTGTTCGCCAATTTCCACTGATAAACCATGGTGATAAACCATGGTGATCTGGTTGGTGGTTTCAACCCCTCTGAAAAATATGAAAGTCAGATGGGATGATTGTTCCCAATATATGGAAAGTCATAATCCAGCCATGTTCCAGTCACCACCAAGCAGTGATAAACCATAGTGATGGGCCAAAAAAGGGGACCTATCCATGGGATTCACCGATTCACCCGGATTTCTGGGCAAACTTCTGGGGGTCCCCGTCCCAACCATGGCCAATCTGCCAGAGGGCCCCTGCAAACAATGGACCAAATTCTTTGCTGGTTAGTAATGTTCGTAGATATTCCCATGAAAATACCAAAAGACTAACTATATAAAGGATTTTTTCAGTATCCATCTAAGATTGACCTAGTAAAAATAGGTAAAAATGGCATGACTTGCATGATTTCCACCATTTGAGACCTCCAAATCTCCCCACAGGTCCCACCCATGGCGATGTGCATCTCTGCTCGCGTATCGACCCTTGCGCCAGAGCCTCGGCCCATGGAGATAATATGACACAACTCATGTTTGATATCACCTCTACAAGTTGAGTCCCCTGATGTTTCTTGGTTTATAAACCCAAAAAAAAAACTATATATTGTTGTTTTTATAGTTATATTCCCAATAAAACCCGAAACGTTCACCAAGTTCGAAGTCAACGTAACTGTCCAGGGGTGCCTAACCTTGTATGTTGCTTCAGGACTGGGTTAATTGGATTGTTTTATGGATATATCTATAATTAAGATGGGATTATTGGCTGTAGACTGACTTTACATTGGGGTTTGATTCTATGGATATATCATGATACATATATATATATAACTAGGCTAGAGGTAAAGGGGGTTATAACCAACAAACCTCAGAAATGATCTGATTTTGTGCCCCAACAATGGGACGACCGCAGGTTTAATTCATTGCTGGGCCTATTCAAAGGTGCCAAATGAGCCATGGTCAATACTCACTATATGGTTGATGGTCATCCCATCCATAATAAGGATCCTTATAATGGTTATTATAAATCCCTATGAACCATTGGATGACTAGCCCCTATTAATGGTTATTAACCATGAGTATTGACCATAGCTCAAATGGATTTGTCTAAAAATAGGCCCATGAAACCGGTCAATGACTTGCCGGATTGACTTGCGCGCCACATTCAACCAGGAGGTGGGGGGGCGTAATCATTTTTCACACGTTCTTGATGCTACGCTTTGGATTTTTTCTTGCAATGTTTAACACGCTCTTACTGCTACGCTTTGGAAGTTCTGTTGCGCTCTTTAACACGTTCTTGATGCTACGCTTGTTTAACACGCTGTTCTTTGCTGACGATGTGCATAGTATCCATTCTTTTGACGACTTTGATGTGATGCCTTGAAATGTTTTCAGCTCAACATGTCTTAGCTGCGATGGATGGTTTGGATTGTGCTGTTTCGCTGACCTGATGTCCGTGAGTTGTTTCAAGTTCTTTGGCTTTTCGAAAAAGATGTGTTGTGTTGAAGGGGTGAACCAGTCATTGTCCAAGCTTAGTCATGGAATTCTATAGAAATATTTACTCTCTGGTAATTTAACATAGCTATGGAAAATCACCATTTTTCATGGGAAAATCCACTATAAATGGCCATTTTCCATAGTTATGTTAGTTTACCAGAGGGTAATTAGTTTAGTTTTTTAATTTCGACCCTCATGTGTCCAGGTTTGTTTGCAGCGTAAAAAAAAATTGCCGATGATCTCTCTGCAGATTTTGAATTGCGATTTGGTGATCGAAATTTAGTGGTGGTGGATGTGAAGACAGCTTCCCCCATTTAGTCAGCTATAAACCTCCATTTATGGGTTATGTTCTGTTGCCATCGTTGTTGGCTTGGCGGTGGACCAAAGATGATGAAATGCATCTGATCCGTCAAAGGATGTTGAAGACAGCTTGCCTGAAAGGTCTTCTCTCGATGACAGTCCTCGCAAAAAAAAAAAAAAAAACTCTCAAGAAGGCCATGGCCGGACAGTTCTTCGCTGAAAATTTGTGCCATCACGGACTGTTTCCCACACTTCATTGTTGCAAAGGGCAAGAGCCTTTGAGAGCTGGCTGAAAGGGATGTGGCTGCGGAACAAGATGCTGGTCCATACTTTGGCCCGGAGACTTTGAGCGATTTCTTGGCAGCTGAAAACCGATGTTTGGAGCAATTCTGTGCTTTTTTTCTTGCATGCACCCAATTAGCTGAACCTCAAGAGGAAGATGATAATTTTTTGTACCTGAAGCCAAAAATCACCATTACCCTCTGGTAATTTAACATAGCCATGGAAAATGGCCCATTTATAGATGGTTTACCTATTAAAAATTGCCATTTTCCATGGCTATGTTAGTCATAACCAGATGGTAAATCCAGATGGTAAATCCCATGAAATTCTCATTGACTTCCCATGAAATCCCCCAGCCAACTCCCACAGCTTTCCAGGCTACGGATGGCTTGCTGCAGGTCTTTCAACTCTCCACGGGTGGCAGCCTCTCCGGGTGATCGTCGGAATCATCGGACCCTTTTTCGGCCGGCCTTTTTGGGACCGCGGCCTTTTCCAGTGAATGGTGAGAAAAACCCATAGGAAAATCATCAGAAACCCATAGGAAAACTATAGGAAAAATGGAGATTTCACCAAGAAGAATGGGGGGTTCCGTGGGGATTTCATGGGGATTTCATGGGATATACCGTTCGGAACTATCAACTATCCTGTGGATGGTTGTGAAATCCTGCACCAGTTGGGAACTATTGGTAACTATGAAAGACTGCAAATAAATGTAAATCATGGGACTAAAACGGGATAAACCACATAACTGTGGGATTCCTATGAAACACTGGGACAAGAATGGGATGATCACGGGAAAACTAGCCCATCAACTGGGGATTTGGATTTCTTCCACAGTATGTTTGCTGTTTACTATCTAATCCCCAAGAAACGCGTTTTAAGAACACACGATATTTGTCAACTCAATCCACTGGTTTTTGGGTCCATGCTTAATCTCAAGCGAAGGATCGTCGAATTCACCAAACACTTCTGAGTTGGAAAAAATTCGGGAGAGTCGCGACGTGTGGTCATTACAAATCAGCCAGATTCCGAGATATGTCATGTCCATTCCGAAAAAAACCGTTGTTTTCCATTTTGTTTTGTGTTCGAGCCCTAGTTGAACGGTTGATTAAATAGCCATCAATACAACTTATCCAGATGATTCCGTTCCATGGATTCAAAAGGGGTTCCCATTGGGAGCCTGCGCGAGTCGAACATCTGCACATTCCTGGCTCGGGCTTGAATGGATTTCTCCTTTTTTGTTAGATAAACATAGAAAAACCAACTTGAAACTGGGATTTGCAATGGATAATTCGATTCTAAATCAGAAATCAGCTGATTTTGGCGTGTTTTTCCCCTTCTGCATCCATTTATCTTGTGGGAGGGCCTTCAGGATGATTTCCACTAGGGCAAACCCTGTCAACGGGGATGGAAGGTGAACAAACGGCACTGTTTGTCAGGATATCCCACTTATCAAGTAGTCAACTTGCCTTAGTTCGACGATTTGCCTATTTTCAAATGCTGATTGTCAGCACACAACGTGAGAGGGTAGCCGACCCTAGGTCGTCCAGGTTCTATTCCAGGATTTTCTGGATGCATGACCGGACGAATCCCAGGATATTCTGATCGAATCGCCATCGGGAGCCCTGTGGAGTATGGGCAGCATGGCTGGCTGACATGTGTCAAAGAGGAGTATTCACCGATTTCAGGGGAGTTGGATAGGAATTGGATGGTGAGATGATTGGTGAAGAGTTAAGTAGGCACCACCTCTAGTTGGGGAATTTGGGGAACTTGGGGTCTTGCACCCTATGTAATCAATAAGTCGGGAGATTATGCGATTATTGGTCTGGGTCAATTGTAGCGACCTCGCGATGACGTCACTAGGAATGATGATGGACGTATATGTGCCATGGTCAAGTTACGCGGGCTGAAATGGTTTATGATCATCCATCCCGTTATGAGAATCTTAAAAAAAACACATAAATCTCCAATATGGGCAATCTACCCAGCTTTGACCACGGCAAATATTGATATCCCAACATGGCACCTGATCAGTGAGCCCAGACATCCGCTCCGGCACGCAGGCTTGGGGAAGCCCCCGCAGGTCCTGGGAAGGAGGACTGGGAGGACTGGGAGGACTGGGAGGACTGGGGGGACTTGAGCCCAACTCTCTGAGGGGTGGAACAAGAAATCACAACCTGAGCAGTGGGTTTCCAATCATAAAAATCTCTGCGGAATCTGCACCAGAATGGCTCAAGAGCGTGCTTTCGTCGCTTTAGTAGTGTAAACCTCTATGGACAAGAATTGGGAAAACCCCAAAATAATGGATTCACTGGGAAAAAAATAGTGGGGATGAGTAGTGGAAAATGGTAGCGGCGGTTTCATGGTAGTTGAATGGTACTTAAACTAGGTAGATCATGGCACAACCCATTGAACAACACTTTTGGAGGCTGTCTCGGGTCAAAAAATGATGAAATGCTGCTTTAAGTTGGTGGATAGAATCCCAGCAACGCTGGAAAAAAAAAAAAACTGCCTCCAGGATGTCTGACAATGGCTGCCATTGCTGCCATTGCTCATGCTGGGATGGAAAAAATGATGGTACAAATCATCCCAATTTTCTCAGAAATGTTGCTATCAATCAGGGTTCTGTAGATATCACCAGCCAAAAGTGTCTAATTGATTGACAAATATCATACGAAGCTGAGATCTCTACAGGAATCCCCAAGTCAGGAAAGGAACTGCTGCTAATCACATGTAGAGTTTCGAAAGATATCAAAAAGTTGGCAGCGACATCTTCTTCCAATTAAATGGAAAACAAGTATGGTCTTCGGATCGACAAAAAAAAAAACTTGTAAATGGTCAAATTCGTCCAAATATCTCATATATCTATCTAATGTTAAGAACAGCATATATATATAATATAATATCTAATATCTAATATCTAATATATATATATATAACATATCAATAACATATCTAATATATATAATATATATCGATAGCATATCTCATGACCTTCCATCTACGGACGCAAAGTTCTTCAGTTCTTCGGAGACCAAAAACTGACTTTTTCCGGGCATCCCGGCGCAGAGCGGAGCGGCAGGGCCCTGCTGGAAGATTGGGTCCTGTGGCGGCTGTGTCTGGAGAAAGATGTGGGCGTCCGGATGGTGAAAGCTATTGAAAATGGCCATTGAAATAGTGAGTTTTCCCATGAAAAATGGTGATTTTCCATAGCTATGTAAACGTTTACCAGAGGGTACCAAAATCCATGGTTTGAAGCTCCGGTTTATGCTTTGTGGTGTAGAACTGCAACTGGTTGTGGTTGAACAGCTATTTTAAGGGAGATGGCAAAGGAAATTTTGCTCCTTGAGTCCCCTGGGTCTTGAATATTGAGAGATAGTCGGCCATAGCTGCACTTGTTCACTGCGAAAAGATATGGCATATGAGCTGTTTGGTGTTCATCCCCGTGTTGTAGCTTGAATCACTTTGCAGTTTCAATCGCCATCTCAACAATATGGAGGTGTCCTAAAATAGCTGGTACTCTTTTTTAATCCTTAAGTCATTAGACCATGGCTTCGTATTGAAACCCCCCATAGCCTTGAGGCCTTGTTGGGGATCCCGCCATTTTCAGAAACCCAAAACACTCAACATCCGAATGTCGGCCTTGTCGGAAGTGCTCATCTGCAATGGCGCAGAAAAGAGTGATGATGGGCCATCGATCATGGGGGAAATCATGGAAAATGATGGCAACATCTGAGAAAGACCAGTTGTTGAGACTTCTTTGGGAGAAAAACTGGAGGAAACCCATGGAACTTGCCCATGGTTTAGGGACAAGGGCGACCTAAAAAACTTTGGATAGCTCATGGGTTACAGTCAGCAACCAAAAATACGTATGTTTTATATGTAAAGTATATCAAAGAGATTCTCATGGCACCTGTAGATTTGCTTTTCGTTCTATCTCCTTGGAGGTTGCTATACAAACTATTACCATTAATACATCCATTAATCCCCACAGTCAGTCGCCGATCCAAACACTTTTAGGATCAGCCTGGCACCGATCTATCCAATCAGAGTGCCCAATCTTCAAGAATTGCACAATGAGAGCATCAACACAAACAAAAAAAAAATCGAGCCTTTACCAGGAAGAACAAATGATCGTTTGGAGAATTTACGTCCTATGTATATCTATATATGGCTTAAAGCGGCTTTACTTCCAACGTCATGATCCACGGATACATGGATAAATGACAATAAGTCTGGAGAAAAAAATCGAACTTGGTATTCCCAAAATTCACCATCATTTATGCAAGCCATAGGGGCCATTGTTGGTTGCTTTTTTGACCATCCAAAAGGATGTGATTCGTATATGTAATGTCCAAACAATGACCAATCACAGGGCGGAGCAATCAAAATGAGGGAGGGGAAGTTGGAACTATGCTTCTGACATCTGACCATCGGATAATCCGGATAATCCATGATAATCCTATATCCTGGGGGGGCCTCACAAGTTGAGGACCCAACTAGCGTGATGAAGCCTTCATCTGTGGTTGGAAATGAGTTGGAAGCATCTGAATCTAAAACCTGTGTCACACGCCGGGCCACGTCAACCATTCACCAAACATAGCGCATCTTGGATTCTTCTATAGATACCTTGCAATGGTCACTTCAGTTTTGCCTGGGTATGCAATAGTCCTGGCAAAAGCTCCGCCATGAACTTGTTCAAGCAGTGTTGCTGATTCATTTCTTGACTTTTCCGACTTAGATGCCCATTACCGTAGGTCGACCATGAAAACTCATGACATTTGTAAGTCCTTACCCAACTCCCGTGTGCCTTTTCGCCAGCTGTCACCTGCGTGAGTCAGGGTCACAGCATAGCCATGTGCACCCCAGTCCTAATGATCATCCTTTGTCCCATGTATGTCTCGATTAAAGGCATGTTGTTTAAGCATATACCAACCAGTATACACATCCAAGTCAAACCAAATGAGACACGAACTTTTTCCAATGCAGCACAACATCCCTATCCAAACACCATTAAATTTCACACCGCCCAATATTCTTCAGAGTTCCCAAATCATATATATATACAATTTACGCACCATGTTTTGTTCCATGGTGTCTTCCCACCATTGCTTTTCAGTCGGCCACTGAGATCGATGAAAAAGCACCATTTTTTTGTTGGTGAAGCCCTTCGTCGGCTGAAAAATATCAACCTGGCTGCTATGGAAAAAATTACTATGTCTGTTGGTTCAACACTTTTTTGGGGGGTCTGAAGTCTTGAAGCACGATTTTCTGGTGTTCAAAGCCTCGTGTTCCATTCATTTCTGTTCCCATTTCTATCAGTTACATCCCAACTCCCCATTCCTGTTAGTTGATTCCATTCATTCCCCATTTCTGTGGCTTAACTCCTTGTGGCTGAAGTTCCCATTTCTGTTTCTTGAATTCCACAAAAACTCTTGGTGAAAGTCCCCTTTCTGTTGCTTAGAATCATGTGAAAAATCCCTGTAAATCTGTCGAAATCCACTTACCCTCTGGTAATTTGACATAGCTATTGAAAATGGCCCAGTCGAAATAGTGAGTTTTCCCATTAAAAATAGTGATTTTCCATCGTTTTTTGTATGTTTACCAGAGGGTAATGTTGGTTGACTCTCTCTGACGGCCCCTTCATCCCATCTCCAAAAACGGTTTCGTCTTCGCCTGATTCGCCACGTCCACTGAGCTCAGGTAGGCGGTTATAACATCAATTGGATAAACGATGGATGGGGTAGTTGTAGATGAGGATACAGTTGTAAATGGATATATTATGGGTAGATCATCGGTATATGACGGTATACATGGGAGATAAATATGGTGATAATCATCAATGGCAATATGTGGGATCTAATATGGTGATATTGGGGAGATACTGCGGAGATAATGGGTATATATATATACATACATACATGTATGTGCATATATAATTGGGTAAACAAGGGAATGGAGATAGAAGGGTGATATCATGCTTAATAATGAATAATGGCTGATGGTTAATAATGGGAAAATCATATGCATATAATGGGATAATTTTGTTGGTATCTGGTAATGGTAATATGTGGGATATAATGTGGTGATATTGGGGAGATATTGTGGATATACTTTAGACTGGGTATATGTCAGGGTTTCGTTTGTACATCGCCAACACTAAGCAACAAATCTGCGGATAATTTTATGACCAACATCATCCAACAAAATGCGGGGATATAATTGAGTACAACGGTATACAATGGTTGCAGTATCAGTATTAATAGAAATCGTTGCTTCATCCCAGGAATCAAAAATAGTGGGCTACTTCACGCCAGATACATAGTTCAGTGGGGCAAATACAGTTAATCCAGTTCTAATTGGATTAGCCCACGTACGATTCCTGCGATGAACCACCAAGAAATGAAAAAGAAAGTTGAGGCAAGCATCAAAATATGAAGGTTTACCTGTAGTCAAAATGAATATTTCACTAAGTCAGAATCAAAACCAGATTTTAAGCTGTTAAAATAAAGGTGTTGGGTAATCAAAATCATGATTTGTCAGCAATCAGAATTAGGACGTCTTAATTTGTTTCCAAGCAAAACAAGGATTTCTATGGATTTTGGCAGGCACATCTGATTTCGATTGCATCTTTTTGTGTAGCTCAGGGAGCTGCTCCCAGGTTTAAATGCAGTTGATTTGGAGGAAAAAATGTGGAATACATGTGTTGGGATTACCAAGAAAAATGTGGATTCCATCAACAAATTCGATGCTTTTATCAACAGGTGTGTATGTATGTATATATATATGTGTGTGTGCTTAATATATTATATATTATATATATATACTATCTATCTATCTATCTATCTATATATATATATGACGCCCAATGGATTGACTGAATGGAAACAACTGCAGGAAACGTTGGTGTTTTACCATCCAATACCGGGATTGTCCCATGAATGTTCCCTGAAACAAGGTTCATAACCCCAGCTGGCACTCGTAGCTTCGCCATGGGTGCCAATGAATGAATTCCAATCTATTATACAAGGGATCGAAGAACAAATGCTATTAACCCAGCTTTGCAACCCAACAGCAGGTTCCAGGGTTCCAAGGCTGCAAGTTTATCAGGCAAGGTTCCAAGGTGTTACAGGGTTCCAAGATTCCACAGTTGCAGGTTTCCAGTATTGCAAGGCTGCTAAAAAAAGTTGGCATTGCTCATTGATGCTCGTTTATTCTTACACTGCCTGTGCATCTGTGACCTCAAAACAGGGCTCCAAAGATGTTCCAAAACACAAACATTGCCTTTTGAAGACTGATTGCATTGTTTCTTATGATCTCAGGATATTTTAGGTGAATATTTCTCTTCAATTTGGCAAAAAAGATTACTTGGTGGTTCACCCCATAGTCCACTTATACCTGGAGTCGTAAAGCACTGGGGTGAACCCACCAGGTTCTCACCAGCTTCAGCCTGCCATTCCAGCCATTCCACCTATACCCTGCTGAATAGCTTTGGTGACCGCAAGTCCCTCATTTAAGTGGGTTTATCCCGCGTATGTTATATATATATTCAAGCATGGTTACAAAGTAATCTTTTCCCGCTATATACTTTACCAGAACCTGTGTATAATACGGTCACCAAACCCCTGGCTCAGGAATTCCAAAGCAGGATGATCTTCCAAGCATAGAGTCCGGTTGAACTTTGAAGCCCATTGCGTAGAATCGGGTAACCCATTTATTGGCTGGTCAACAAACCGAAACTACAAAAATGACAAATAGGTATTCTACCCGAAGTGATGGATAGTTTTCCAAATTCAACCATATCCATTTCATGGCTAATGCTAGACACCCTGCCAAAAACAAACTGGTTGAAACATATATTATATATCCATTAAATGGTAAAAGATTAGAGTGCTGTAAATTCTATTAACTGCCTATCACCAATGTTTTTCTTGGATTATTGGGCGGTCAATATCCCCAATATAATCAATATACATTGCCAATCTTAGATAGCTTGGGCTTAGCTGAATATATCCCAGCAAACTAGCAACAAAAATGCAATTCTAGCTGGTTCGTATTTATCCCCATTTACAGCACCCCTCAGAAACCATAGAACATCAGAATCGTACCCATATTTGGGGTGCCACTATATGGGGGGTTACGAAAAAAAGCGATGAAGTTCCACGCCCCACTACCCGTAGTTTCGTCTGTTCCAGATGTTTCCACCTCGCACTCCGTGCATTTCTCAATGGCTGCCCCCATGGCGACAGCCGCGTGGCTAAAGTCGTGCAGGAGTGGGCAGCGGCTTGAGCAGCTGCCAACAAAAACCTGGTGACTCGTGCTAGGAGAGGGGCCAAACGGTAGCTAAGTTGGTTTATAACTAGGTTAATGGAGATATACATATCTATATTATACATATATATATATATAATACTAACAAATATATATATATACACTGTGTGTATATATAAAATATACTACTAAGTATGTATATATATATACTAAATATATACTACTAAGTATGTATATTTACTAAAACTTACCATCTTACATACATATGTATACTAACATATGACATATAAGAATATGATTGTGTATATATATATATAGAGATATCATGATCTGTAGTTAAATGGGCTTCTAAACCAACTCAGAAGCGGGGGTAAACCAACCGTTTCCAACGGGATGATGTCAATCCAGCGGGCCCATGCTAGGGGCTGTTCACTGGTAGGGGCCAGTTCAATTTGTTACCCGGCCTGGTAAACATACAAAAAGCTACTGAAGCCATGGCCCAGTCGAAAGTTATAGTGAGTTTTCCCAGCTATAAAATGGTGGATCTTTCCCATCAGTTTTTTGTTCACCGTTTACCAGGCCGGGTATATCAAAAACGGTGAGAAATGCCAGTATTTTCATGGGGATGTCCCAGCTCTCCATGGTTGGTTGGAGGGTAACCCATCCATTTTAAGGAGGATGTCTTTAACCTCCCGTGACTGATACCCTGAAAAATCACCCTGTGCTAGACTCTAGCTGTCTAGCTGATGTGTTTTTTGTTCTATCAATCGAATTAGATCTGTCCCTTGCCATGTTTGATTACCAAAGGGTGAAGAAAATATTGATCATTCACCATTCATGACATCCTCGCTTCTGATGGCTCTTCACATCATTGATAACGCGCAAATATCATACTTGTTTACTGAAGCTCCGATAAAAACTGATAGGGTCCAACAAGAAGTATCATGCCTCATTTCGCCATGCCTTTTTTGTGCCAAGTTTTTTGGGGTACCCTCTGGTAATTTAACAGTTTGCTATTGAAAATGGCCCAGTCGAAATAGCAGGAGATGTCAGGCGTCAGTTGCGTGGTTTTCTCATCTTCCCTGACCCAAAGATCACTGACTACCCTCTGGTAATTTAACATAGCGAACTGGAAAATCACCATTTTTCATGGGAAAATTCACTATAAATGGTGATTTTCAATAGCTATGTTAAATTACCAGAGGGTAATGATCATGTACTCATTAATATAAATCATATATGAATAAACCATAATAAACCAGCTGGTGATCCATGTGGCTGAAAAATTCCTCACACCATCCGCAGCCCTTGTTTTTGGTGACATCAGAAGCGGGGCGAGGCGTTCCCCTGCGATGAAAGACCGAGCTGAAAGCCAACATGGAACGTCTAAAAAGAAGAATCGGTTGTGCGAATTTGGTTCTATGATGAACAATGATATCCTATGAATTCAATGGGAATGACTCAGGATCCTAAAATGGAGGTACGTAAACGCACCATATTGTTGGCCATATTTTGGGGGTATATCCCCTGAAATTTAGGCCTGAAAAATAGGCCTTATATATGGTAGGTACCTCCAATTTAGGTTCCTGAAATGGCCATTGATGAATTCTTGGGTTCTACAATGAACTATGGATATGAAAAAATCGCACTCGGAATGACATGAATTTTCGCTGGTGAAGTCTTGGGGTATTCAGTGAATGAAGTTACAGCAAAAATACCCTCTGGCTATGACTAACATAGCGAAATGGAAAATCACAATTTTTAATAGGTAAAACCATCTATTTCTATGGTCCATGGCAATTTTTAAGTTCGGTGTTTACCATCTATAAATCTATGGTCCATGGCTCTACCATGGCGAACTGTTAGTCATAACCATTTAGGGTAATCGCCTACGTCCAAGGGCCGGGGCCCAAGGTTTTTTGCCATGCGACTGTGACTTGTTTCATGGGGATCTCAGTCTGGTGACCAGGGGATCAAAATTCAATGGATTGGTTTAAGGGAAAATTTACAGGAAAGCCCCATATTTAATGGGAAAATCTATGGTTTCCTGTAGATTTTCCCTTAAACCAATCCATTGAAAAATCTCCTGCAAGTGGTAACTATGAAGCCCCACTAAACAATTAAAACACAATGATGATGGTCGCAATTCCCATCCAACCGCTAGAACCTCTAGCAAATCGAGCAACAGCGCCAACAAAACCAAAATGAGATAGACCAGTCTGTGCAAAGAGTGCCAGAAAAGCTACCCCAACTGCCCCTCCTAAAATTCATGCTTTCACTGATACATCAAGTGATTTCGAGTGGATACACGTCATTTCATAACCTCAACAGCCAAATGAAGAGAAAAACCAAAAGTAAGCCAGAACATAATGGGTTTGAAAAAAAAAACGAGTCAACAAAATGCGTGCTTTTTGGGGCTGCCATTGTGAGTCTTCAGCACC